CAAACCTAGGCATTAACCAGAATTGGTAACATTTAGAAGCAAACTAGAAAGAAAAGTATTTCATCCTTGAATTTCTTTCTTTTGTTTTGTTAATCCTCACCCAAGGATATTTTCCATTGGTTTTTAGAGAGAGTAGAAGTGAGGAGAAGAGACAAACAGAGAGAAACATTGATGTGAGAGAGACACATCAATTGGTTGCCTCCTGCACACGCCCCGACCAGGCCAGGGATGGAGCCAGCAACAGAGGTACATGCCCTTGACCAGAATCACACCCAAACCCGAGACCTTTCCATTCTTGGGACGATGCTCTATCCACTGAGCCAAACCAGCTAGGGCTTGGATTTCTTCTTTTCTGTTCTAGGTTACAATAAAAGCAAGAAGAATGATTTTAATCACACCTCCTGTAATCATGACACAAGGTTTATTGGTAGAATCTGCCTGGTCAGTTTCAATGGCCCTATTTTCTGATCTTATTGCATAACAGGATAATCAAGTAAAGAAAATAAACAAACTGTCCTAGGTTTGGAGATAAGAGCCAGGGAGAGCTACCAAACTGCTGCATATGAGAATTAAGAACATTAGGGAATCCCCTTACTCCACTTTTACATGAAAAGAGACTGAGTGGGACTCAAGGCAAAACCCCAAAGTCCTTGCATGTGAATTACAGCATCCCAGAAAGGGACTGCCTCTGCACCTTCCAGTCGTTTCCGATCCCATCCCACCCAATATGCACCTCAGGGGCAGGAGGGGTGGCCAGTGATTTGGGGAGGTCCTAGGAAGATTGAACTTGGGTGGTTCAGGGAAGGGGGAGGAATTCTGGGTGTGAGATGAATGCCATCGTGAAATGCAGGGCTGGGGCTGAGTACTCATCTCACACTTCCAAGGCCCCTACTCATCAGGGCTCCAGAGGAGCTCAGCTGGATCCCCCGTATGAGGCCTATGGCGTTTCACTAGCTGTTACCAAACGGGCTCCCGCACACACTACCACTGCTTTTTAACGTTCCCCCTTCCATCGCAAATTCTATCACCCCTTTCTCTCTTTACAGAACAAAAAAAGCCTGTATGGAAATTGAAGGGTGGCTTCCTAACACGTTTATGCAAATATAGATTCACCCATGAGAATTTCTATGGAGCTTTTATTTGCATACACAATCCTGGGACTATCACATCCAGCTGGGGACATTTTTTAATAAGATCATTCAACTTAGTGCAGAATGGTTGATATTTTAGACACATTCCCAAGCCCGCTGGCCCAATTCAAGGGTGCTTTTAACTGATGGTTCAGACCAACACTGGCATCTTCTTAGCCATGAGAAGAGTGAAGTCTCCCAAGGACTCCTAAGGACATGGAGATAGAACTTGTTCTGCCCATTCATTGTTTTGTTCTGCCTGGGTTTTCATGTGGGTTCAGTATAAGCTCAGTTAATACAGGCAATGGATGGAATAGGCCACAGAGAGATAAAATTGTTATCTTTAAGTTAACAATTAAGTTAGAAGAGTATTTCCCAAAGTGTAGAAAGCATACCACTGATGGTATCAGAGAGGATTTTACGTTGCACAGAGATATGACATGAAATGACACTCAAATAGTGAAAATACTTTTCCTTTTTCAACTCTCATTGAATTATTCCAAGAAGATCTGGGGGAAATTCTTGGTCTGCTGGTGGCTAACTGCCTTTCAGTAAAGCTTCAGAGGGCATTGGATTTGGACTTAACACAAACAAGGTAACTAGAATGTAAGCTCTTTTTTTTATTAGCCATATTAATAGTTACCTTCCTCTTACGAGGATTCTGATTTCCTATGTAAAATGTAATATAAAGTTTCTTTTAAAGATGCCTTTAGAAAATGGGTTGACTTCAATATAAAAATATCAAGTAAATAATAGTGTATGTGACAAAAGTGATGACGGTGGCATGCATACTTTCAACATTTGGGAAACACTGGGTTAGAAGAATAGTTTCAGAACCCTGGTCCACGCTAGGAAGAAACCAGTGTGAGATGTTTATAAATATGGAGACTTTTAAAAAAATTACTGAAATTTGATTCACAGAATCTTGAATCCCCCTTTAATAGTCCCAACCACCCAAGGCTCTCTCTTCCCCGAAGCGGAGCTGGGTGGATACGGAATGGCATGTGCATTGTGTGGTGAAGACCAGGGTTCTTTGTTCCCCTCTTAGTTCAACAAATACAGACCTTATGCCTAAAGAACCGTCTAAAGGCGAGTCCTAGCCTGGGGCTGTCCAGGTGCTTTTTCTTGGTGCCTTTCGCCTGGATCTCGAGTGTCTTCTGCCCAGCTTGCCCATCACAGACACTTTCTGCTTTGCACGCCTTTTGGGCAACAGCAGTCACAGCTTAGCACTTTGTTTTTAAACAAAATCCATTCCCTCCATTGTTTTTAAGTACATTCAAATACTTCGACAATTCGCAGCATATCACCTGCATCCCCCCACCACAAGATGTCATGTGGCTGTTTCTCTCTTTGAAACTCTCAAAGGTGATTTGCTAAAGAACACAGTCCATGGCAGGCACACATGGGTTTTCACCAGGGCAACCTGGTTCAATGACCCAGATGAACACAACTTTATTTGCTAAAGACAATGACAGAACATTTCAACTCTGTCTATAGGACATAAAATACCCAGATGAAAAATCTACCAAGTTAAAAAGGTAACACAGTCTCTACTTGACAGTTTTAAATATCTAAGTCAGTGGTTCTCAACCTTCTGGCCCTTTAAATACAGTTCCTCATGTTGTGACCCAATCATAAAATTATTTTCGTTGCTACTTCATAACTGTAATGTTGCTACTGTTATGAATTGTAATGTAAATATCTGATATGCAGGATGGTCTTAGGTGACCCCTGTGAAAGGGTCGTTCGACCGCCAAAGGGGTCGCGACCCACAGGTTGAGAACCGCTGATCTAAGTGGTACTGCCACATGGGAAAGAAAACAAATATTTGAAGACAACAAATGATGGATTTTTGCGTCCTAGAATCAAGTGACTTTCATTCCCAAATGAACCCCCTTTAATTCAGTGCTAGGGACTTCAGGGAAGCAGTATCACCCACAAAAATGTTAGCTGACTCCTAGAT